CCGACGCCAGTTTCGAAGTGAAGATTTTCATTTCTCTCGACCAAGTCATCACTTGGCCTCTTCCTCTACAAACCTAACCCTCGGCGCGCAAACAATGCACGTCGCGGAAGTCGGTGTGCTGGTATGCACAACATGTGGCTCAGCCATCGGAGCTTGGTGCGTGTTATGATGGTACTGAGCGGTTCACTCGCTCTTCCTGCACCAAATACGCGACGCCGAACACGCGCAATGCTCACGGGGTGCTACCACCAGACATGAGCTAAGCTGCGTAGACAGCGATGATCGAATGTGACGAGTCTCTTTATGTCTGTCGACCTGATGGGCCAAGTTTCACTACCGTATAAGAGGGTTGAACGGACGGCTGCATTATGCACTTTACCCTTCAGGGAGAAAGTGATGCGTCTGCGCCACAAATGGCGGAGTTTGACAAAAGCACCTCGAGCTTTTGGTATACGGTTCGTAATCTTAACTTCGATCCCACGGTCGCTAATATAGCTGTCCAGGTACTTGGATTCCTGAACGACTTCTAGTTGATCATTACCTATGGTTAGCGCATGGGTGCGTCCCTGCCAATCTCGGAGAAGTATTTCGCATTTCGATGGAGCAGAGCATAGCCCCAAAGCGATTGACAGGCAGTGCTAATCGGTCCAGTGCAGTCTTGCACGTTTGTGCACTGTCACATATGAGGGCAATGTCGTCCGTGTACTTCAAGTTAAGATATCCTTCACCAGGAATTAGCTTTACACCTTCTGTGTCGTGTCCAGCGAACGCTGTTTCCATGACTCCATCAATAGAGAAGTTTAAGAGGAAAGGTGACAACGGGCAACCTTGTCTCACACCGCTGGAGATATAGAAGAGCGGCGACCGTTTACCGTTAAACCCTCACTCTGCCCGAACTATGCGCGTTAAACGCTTTGATAATCCTTACATAATTATCGGGCACATCTTTTCTCATCATATAGTCCCAAAGGGCACATCGATCCGCCGAATCGAAGGTACCTTTGATGTCGAGAAACTAGACAACGATGGGTCACCAATAAACATAACGTTGCTCCAACAAGTGACACAAAGTGATGTTTGATACAGCCTCCATTTCGACGAAACCCGGCTTGCACTTCGTGGATCTGGCTTTCACGAGCGCCAGTCAGTCTGTGGTGAACGACAGGCAAGTAATTTAGAGATAATTTAGATCAGACTAATCCCTCTATGGTGGCTGCATTCCGAACCGGAGCCTCCCTTTAAAATTGGGACAAAAGCGGAGCGGCATCAGTCTAGCGGGACAGTTTCCTGCTCCCAAAGTTCCACTAGCATCTCGTGTAAATCATCCACAAGAGCAGGTCCCTCGGATTTGTAGACAACTGGGAGTATTCTATCTACCCCTGCGGCCTTATGCAACTTCAACAGTCTGATCTGACGTTTGACTTCTGCGAATGATGGCGAGTCTAGGGAGACGGCCCATAGAGAAAGGCACTCAGTGCCCGAAAAAGAAAGCGATAACTCAGATTGGTTAAACTGCCTTGCAAAGTGTTCGGCCCAACGCTCCAAGCGTTTTGACAAACTGTGGATCGGCTGTCCACTCTCGCCGCGTATTGTCTCCCTAACAACGGGTCTCCTGCTGCCTGTTTCCAATATCAAACGGAATAACTTACGATGATTACCAACGGCAGCGGCTGTTTCCATTTCCGATGCACAATGATGCCACCAGGCTTCGCGGTCTCTCTTCAGGCTAGCACTCAGTTTTGCCCCGAGATTTTTGCTAGTCTCATTGTATTCGCTTCCAGTCGGAATACGTCGGCGAGCATCCATAATTTTCAGAGATTTTGTAGAGCCCCAGTGTCTAGGTTGGCAATTTGATTTGCCACTTGAAAATATGCTTGCTGATAGTACCGTTTGACGAATATGCGACCAGTGGTCTTCGACAGTGTTTAGTGGACGCTTACTCATCCCAAATGCCAGCGTAGTTTAATACGCATTCAGAACAGCTGTCTGGTATCAATGCGCTCAGAGCGATGTTGCGGATGTCCGCCGAAACCCACCCGCAGGTCGTCACACACGAGAGCGTGATCGTAATCCACGCTGGTGCTCCAAACCGAGCGACAGTTTTGAACACAGCCTCTCCAGCGGTAATTAATCGCGATGTGATCGACTTACGTTCATGGCTGGCGCGATACTGGTGGGCGCCAAGTCACTCTTCTGCGGGTGCTGTGACGAAAGTTAGTGTTATTGAGAAGGAGACGAGCACCTTCACACAGGTGTAGAAACCGCTCCCTGTTATCATTCCGGGAGCCTACACCATGTTGGCCACCCAGATGAAGCTCATCAGAGGACAAATTTCCGACTTGCGCGTTTAGATCACCAGCAAGCACCACAGTATCCGTGCTTCTTCTGTGACGAAGAAGATCCTTAAGTTGGTGATAGAAACCATCTTTCATCGAATCAGGGCTGCAGTTTGTGGGGGCGTAAACCGCAATGACAAACAGGCACCGTTTGTCCCCTCCCGACTTCGAAGTCTGAAACGTGCCGGCCAACCTAACGGCGCACATCTGGCTGTTGACTGGAATCCAGTCGATCAGGGCAGCTTCAGTTCGGGGACTCAAAACAATGCCGACGCCAGTTTGACCCGCATTTAAAGCTGCATCATTGCCAGACAGGCGTAATGATAATGTGCTGTTATTGTCGCATGTGGGGGATCGCAGAGTATGCACAGAGCTCGAATCTTGCAGGCGAGTTTCTGATAAACATCAAATATCGATCGATAGGGTCTCGAGTGTTCGGGCGAGTGCTGCCTGTTGGTCAATCTGTATCAAAGTGCGCACGTTGAGGCATGCCAGTCTTAACGAGGCGCGAGGGCTCCAAAAGGAAACCGATAAACTGACGTTGTGCGCTTAGTTGAACATGCACTTGCCGGCTAGATTGGAGCGATGCCGTGAGACTGTATGTGATTTAAAACTAGAAGACAAGCGACTATTCAAGCAAAGGTAAGGGAGTGCCGAAATTGGTGGGATATGAGTAAAGTTGAAGCTGGACGATAAGAACAAAAAGCGCAAGAAGGGGGATAAGACGGGAAGGCAGTACTATCCAAACCCCTGTCCACCCTGCTTGATGCAACAGATAGGGCGCCGTTGATTATCCTCTGTGATGGCCAGAGCACCAAGAGATTATTAAAAGGTCATGGTATATTGCGTGGGCAGGATACTGTCAGGTTGGCCAGGCCTAGACAGGATAAGGATTAGGGTTCTCAACTAACAAAGCCTTTGATTCAGAAACCTTACCGCAACGCAACGTGGTTTTGGCACTAAACTACAAAGAGCCCGTTTTATGGGGTAAAGAGCCACTCTCTCTCCAACCCCAACCTGGATTGCCAGGAGGCTGTGTTTGTCAGGTCTCTAACCATTGACCAATCTGGTATGAGTGGCTCTGAAGGTGCAAAATGCACCACTCAGTAGGTCACTGTGACATACAAACCATCGCACCACGTCAAGGTCCAGTCTCATTGCGATGGTTCGCCTTCATTGATTAAGAATGATTGTGACTCACTGATGATTGCGTTGATTTTTTTTATCCTACCCTGTTTGCTGCAAACAGGAATTGCCGTCCGATTGGCAGCCGTGAACTGTCGCTCCCATCTTTTAGAATTGCCAAACGACTTTCTGCCTCCAATCCGATTTCAACTGTCTCTGTACCGCTGATTTGCACCATACTGCGGCAGCTCACCGACCTTCATAAGGGTCGAGTCAGTAAAGCTGAATTGAATCCCACTTGTGCAGTGGTTGCATTGTTGTTGTTTTTTTTTGCTCTTTGGCATTTGCTCGACTATCAACATACTTAGGACAACAACCTATCGCAGAAGTAATCATTGCCTTGATGGTTATCTTCTTTTCCTTTGGTCGTGCGTCTTAAACTACTTTTTTTCGCGATGTTCAACGTACTGTAGAATTTCGTTGTTATGCATTGGTTTTCTGTGCCGTGTAAAAAGTCTGCTAGAATTTGTACTTTGAATTAATCAAGTAGAATATAGTCATGGCTACTCTCCTGGCTTCAGCAGTTTCTTCGAAAAAGCTCAGAATGATTTCCTCTTGCGTGATATATCTGAAGTAGGAATGCGGTCAGGTGGTCGACCAGTGAATTTGTTGGGTATTTGTCACTGTTCTCGAAGTGTTTTATGCATCCTCAAAACGCAAAGCGTGCTATGAACGCCGAACTCTCAGCTATCTCAAGTTACTAACGAAACTATTGCACGCGCCGTGTCACTTCTCGATACTTCATTCCTTGCTGAAGATTGTGTAGTATCGTCGTATCGGGTTTCGGTCGAACTGAATTCACTACATATGTGATTGCAGATTTTGCAACGGAGAAGTCACTTGCGCTACCGGATTCGATTCATTAGCTTTTCCAAACAACCCTTTCCTTTTTTCCATTTCCTCTTCTCAGTTTTACCTAACTGCTTTGGTTTCACGATTCAGCACGTGTTGTTCCATATCACTTCAGATTTCAGATTATAATCCTATCTACATTGCTCAGAATGGAATACAGGCCACCTCAGCATAATGGCTTGGTTAGACTTAGCGACCGCTCTCCCGATTGTGTTTTGCATGTCTTCATATTCGGTGCGTTAGCTGCTTTACGAACTGCTCATCATGATATGTTCACAGTCGCTTTTGTCCTTTAAGGTATACTTCTTAACTTGTATTTATATCTCCGAACGGTTCCTCAAGGAACGAGGCGTCTGTCTTGCAACCCGGATGTCACCGATTCGAGCATGCGAAGGGAACCAAGCGACCTTCGCCCACGCGCGACTGGTGGAAGCAGCATGGCAACGAAGCGTCAATACAACGTGCTGGCGTATTGTTGATGTCTACTCTTTTTGCTAGTCTCCGTACACCGTTTCAAAGCGTTTTACTCCATTCCTTGTCGTATTTCTACGCATAACGCTGACTTGATTGATTATGCCACATTTTCTTCAGCAGCATTCATTCTCCACCTCTGTTACACCATACTAGGTTCAATATTTTCAAAGGCTGCCCTCAAGCGCGTACTTGCACCATAATTCTTCGAGGTGGATCAGAGCAGCTTATGGAGGAAATTGAACGATCTCTCCACGACGCTATCATGGTGGTCCGCAGAGCTATGAAAAACGATGCATTTGTTGCAGGTGGGTTTGAAAACACCTTTCTACTCAGTTTTCATATGCCACATCATTGGTTGGCCGAAATGATTACGGGCCTGTCTTGTACTCCTGAGGTCACCATTTTAAATTCGCGTAGGTGGGGGCAGCCTCACTGCATACTCAACTCACGCGCAACTATATATATATATATATATATATATATATATATATATATACTGAGCCTGTCGCATTCATGATGCCTCTTCACTGTAGTTGGGCTAAACCAACTTGCACTTAAACTAGGTCTTTTTAATGGGGATAAAATTCATAACATTTTATTTGGTTTGTTCTACGTACTTGATAATCTCCCAACTTGCACACTTCGCTCATGCAAACTGTGATAAACTTGCGTAATTTTATCGCGCGGTATTTTTTAAAATAACTTTCGGACATTCTGTACTTATTGCGTATTCACCTTTAACTAATTTCTTCCATATGCTCATTTAGCGAGAATTTAGGTCGTCATATGCGTTTGCTTTATTCGATATCGGCATTTCAAATGATTGGCTGCTGTTTGACATCCCAGGTGGGGCTGCGCTGGATGTGCATGTTGACAAGGTGCCTACCTGTCTATTACCCACTACCTCATCCATACTGGCTCTATGAGATAGTTGGTCGTTGCTGGAGGGGATGGGATGCCCGGTTCTTGCGGTCGTGCTAGGCTCGAAGAGTGGTTCCATGCAGTCAGTGTGGAGCGGACTACAGTCCAGCCACCGCCTTGTGTGCACTTGTTTCCCCAACTACAGTGTGCTTGTGTTTCCATGTGACGGAGTGTGGGCCGGCTCCGTTGATGAAGCGTGGCTCCCACCCGCATGCCTCGGGTTTACACTGGATATGGGGTGTGTGGTTGGAGCTGTGGGTAATACAGCGCAAGCCACTCATGGTCCCTCTGTAGGCGCAGGTATCCTGTGGCTGGCCACAGGACCAAGCAACCATATATGGTTGGCAGCATCCGGTTTCGGATTTGCCTGTCACTGTGGCCTGCGCCTACAGAGGGACTATGGGTGGCTTGCGCTGCATCACTCACAGCACCAACCACACACCCCATATCCAGTGAAAACCCGAAGGAATAAGACCGGAAGGCATGCGGATGGGAACCACGTTTCATCAACGGATCCGGCCCACACTTCTTCACAGGCAAACACAAGCACGCTGTATTTGGGGTAGCAAGTGCACACAATGTGGTGGCTGGACCGTAGTCCACTCCACACTGAGTGTATGGAACTACTCTTCGAGCCTAGCACGGCCACAAGAACCGTGCACCCTATCTCCTCCAGCAACGACCAACAGACTCCTGGAGCCAGTATGGACGAGGTAGACAGGTAGGTATCTTGTGAACATGCACATCAAGCGCAGCCACACCCGGGATATCAAGCAACAGCCAATCACTTGAGAGAAAGCTAACAAAGAAAAGAAATCGAGTAATGCATTGGGAAACATGACAGAAATCTTAAATTATTGAGCAAATGAAATATGTTGTTTGCAAAAGAATCCGAGATAACTTCAGGAGGTCAGAAAGTATATTTTACGGAATTGACACAGGCACGAAAATGTTATCGAAATTAACTACAATTAGCTTAAGCGGGTTGTGTAGGTTTATAGAAGAGCGCACAGGTGGACATTTATTTGAGAAAGAATTGCATTAGGACAAAATGGAAAACCCCCACTTGAAATAAAGAGACTTAGCATGCAAGCACGCGGGCAGTAAATCGAATGCAGCGTACCTACAAACACTGCGCCGGTTCTGCCTACGTTCTCTGCAGGACCCGTCGTCGCTTCGGTAGTGGCCGCGAGTGGCCTCGCTTATGGCTCACTAAGTCTGGCTGACTCAGGCACTGAAGACCGCATGTTCTACAGCACCATGCGCTTGATGTCGATGGAGTACAACCCATCGGTGCTTGCCGCTTCTTTTCTACATGTATGAGGTCATTTTTCCGTACTTCGGCCACTGCCTTCGTGATCAGATCGCGCCATGCACGCCGATCAACTGCTTTCGATTCCCATGATCTGCAATCAAGATTAGAACGTGAGAGACTCACTTTAGTCATGTCCTGGTAACGTAACTTTGGTTTCCCCCACATGCCGCATCCCTATACTCGGCCGACTATATAATACTTGTTTCGGTATCCGCGTTGAATCCATACGGCTCACATGACCGAGCCATGTCAGGTGTCTCAGTAAAAGTATGCAGTCTACTGCATACATTCCACTTTGTCGCACACACTTCTGTGTCAGCAACTCTGTCGCCCCAAGCGATGCGCAAAATCCGTCGCAAGCACTGCTGATTGGAACCGCTTGAGATATCGCACATCCCGACGGTACATCATCCACATTTCACTGCCGTATAGAAGAACGGACAGCACCATGAATTTGTACACCATCAGCTTCATGCCAATGGTAAGCTGATGGTTGTTCCACACTCGGTGTCGCCGGATGTCGGATGTCGCCGCTGCCTTCGACACACGGATACGAAGCTCACTCTGTATCTGCTCATCAGTCGATATCACACTCCCAAGGTAGCAGAAGCGGGAGGTCGAAAAAACTTTGCCGTGATGTCCAAACGAGCTCTATGATGTTTGAGCTTCAGGCGGTGCCCGCGCAGATGGTCTGACGTAGCCAACTCAAACAGATGGGTGGAACTAATACCACTAAGTCCCTTAATGATCTTAAACGTCTCTATCAAATCCCCTCTCAACCTACGCCGTTCCAAGGAAAATAATCCTAAGCTACTTAGACGATCTTCGTAAGACTTCCCTCGTTGACCTTCAATCATCCTGGTCGCAAGTTTCTGAATCTTTTCTATACAAATGATGTCACTCCGGAGGTACGGTGACCAGGCCTGAACACAATACTCCAGATGTGGCCTGACCACTGCTTTATATAAGGGCAAGAATACTTCTGCTTTAGTGTTACTCAGCGCCCTCCTAAGACGAAATAACTCGTGTCGTGCTTTGTTGGCAGCATGGCGACACTGTGCCGAAGGCTTAAAATTGTTCGCTACGATGACACCTAGATCACGGGCTTCGTCAGTACACCGCAATGATAGAGATCCCACAGAAGACTGAACTGCAATTCCGCTACCACTACTAGTCAATAGTTGACATTTGTTGGCATTTAGAGGTAGGTCCCATTGGCTTGACCAATTCGCCACAGTGATGATGTCCTTAGCCAATGTCGCTCGGTTTCCCCTACTGACTAGCTTCAAGTCATCTGCGAAGATGTAGCAGGGATCCTCAAGAAGAGGAGCCAGGTCATTTATAAACATAAGAAACAGCAATGGACCCAGAACCGAACCTTGGGGGACACCACTGTAGGCATGGCCAACACTAGAACTCGCTTCCCCAACGCTGACTCTGAATGTCCTTCCACGTAAGAATTCAGAGAGCCATAGTAATAGTTGAGGATGCAATCCAAACCATGTCAGCTTCTCAATTAAAAATCGATGGTTCACGGAGTCAAAGGCTTTACTGAAGTCCAAATAGCACACCTCTACCGATATCCCACCATCAAGACAACGGGTAATCTCGTCTAAAAAGCACAATAGATTGGTAAGACAAGACTTCTTTTTGAGAAAGCCATGCTGTTCCGCTCTAATTAGATTGTGCTCAGTCAAGTGCTCACAGATCCTGTTCCTTATAAGCTTTTCCAAGCATTTCAGCATGATGCTGGTCAAACTAACAGGTCTATAGTTAAGAGGCACCGACTTAGAACCCCCTTGTGGATGGCAACAATAGTCGCCTCCTTCCAATCACGTGGCAGCTTGCCTTCTTGAAGAGACTGGTTGAATAACTCCGCTACGGGATACTGAAGGATATCAGCCAGCGGCTTAACTATGGCGGGATGTACGCTATCAGGACCAGCTGATTTATAAGGGTTCAAACTGGCCAGCACTGTGAAGACCTCTGACACATTGAGAATAATTTCCCGCATTGTGTAGCTAGTTGAGCAGTGCGGCTGTGATGGCAAGGCTGACCCACTATCCTTCCGATGCAGGCTTTGGTAGACACGTAGCAGCACTTCTACTTTATCGACGTCGTCTACAGCCTGGGTACCGTCCTCCATGGTTAGACAGCCGACCACCTCTCTTAGAGAAGCCTTTGACTGGACATAACTGTAATAACACTTGGGATTAGTTTTCGCGAATTTAGCCAACCTAAGCTCGTATGAGTACTTCGCCTGCCGCTGTAACTTAATAGCCATGTTTCGACACCTTTTGTACTGCAGCCAACGTCGAAAGCCCCGAGTTTCTTGATATTTTCTCCACTCAGCATTGCGCCTCTTTATCGCTCTATCAATTTTTCTTCTCCACCATCGGGGTTTCCCAAAATGTCTCCTGGGGCGAAGAGGAGCAAATTCATTCAGCAACTGTACAAGTCCACTTTTAAGTAGAAGCCACCTCTGTTCCAAAGTGGCCTTGTCCTGTTCAGGGACCCAAGTGATCTGAAGTGCTCGATCCCGCAGCTTCGTAAAATCAATACGATTTAAATCTCTTCCCATTCGACGGTTCTCTGCAAGCCTCGGTGTGTCCAGAGAAAAGGTCAAAACACAATGATCACTCTTACCTATGGGTGGCTCCACGCATAGGTCAATCAAGTGACCATGTCTGGCGATCACGATATCAAGGGTTGAAGGGGTACTCCCAGTACGACTCCTAGTCGGGACATTGACGTATTGCTCGAACGCATTTACATGCATCCAATCTACTAGTTCCTTCTCTAAAGTTCCCACTCTGTTTTCAGCATGCTGCCAATCAGCATGCGGAAGGTTTAGGTCACCGACGATCAGAAAATTAGGTGCGGCCATTGCCGCCTGTCTTAGTAACGTACCAAGATCCCTGTCCTCTTCTCGCGTGGAGGATGGGCTACGATAAACACATACTATAATCTCTAATCTACCCCATGCTCTTAGATAACAGGATACCACCTGAACATTAGCAGAACTCATGGTAAATGGAGCCTCCCAGTGTTTATATTGGCACTTTATAAGCAAGAGTACTCCTCCACCAGTCTGATACCCGGGCCTGTCAGCCCTGTAGCACGCAAAGTCTATAAGCAGATCACCAATAAGGTCATCTGGAGAGAGCCAGGACTCCGACACAGCGGCCACATCAACATGCTCACAACGCGTCACTAATTCCCCCCATTTGTTACGCACACTACAACAATTAGTGTACCACACGCTTAGTCTCTCCGAACGCGGTTGTTTCCCCTCGGACGTAGAGCCCGAGGGGATACCCCGTTTTTTGTACCATTTCATTTCGATCAGCTGCATGAGTCGATGAATCAACGCTGGGCTGCTGTAACGCATTACGGGATAATCCCTTTCCTGGCTTCGCCCGCCTGGGCTTGCTGGATAAACTCCCGACGGGATTCCTCCCATTTACCTGAGTCAACCTAACAGCACTGGACTTCGGATTTTCTGTACGGTCCAATTTAGGTGTGGCAAGTTTTTCATTTATCCTATCATTTTGTGAAAAGGGCATAACACCCATGGACTTTGGTGCCACTACTATCGAGCATGAGGCCTCGATTGTTTTTGAGCGCACTGGCTGAAGTCCCATTGCCACACCTTCACTACCCTCTTCCGCCATAGAGGTGTGATTCACATTTCCATCAAGAGCAAGTTTCTCCACAACCAAATGCAGGCCAGGAGTTATCTCGCTGGCGTCTTGTGAAGGAGGTTGTCCAGACAAGCTGACTGCCCTTGCCACAGGAGAGCAAACGCTAGAGGTTTGCTTAGGTGTCTGCGTAACGTGAGGCTCACTATCATGAATTCCAACGTGTGAGACCGCAGATTCGTTAGCCAAGCTGGTATTAGTACCTTCTAGCCGGCTCAGCCGAGGGGCTTTAGCCTTCGAAGTTAGTGTGTCCGGTGCTATTTGATACCGACCATTTGTCTGACTTGCAACCAATCCAGCCCTGTTAAGTAGAAGGTCCCGGTGTATAGGGTTCCGAAACTCAACCAGGATAGGCCTTGCATAACCTTGGTGGCGGAGCATACTTGTTTCTCTCCAGCTGCCAACACGATGTACTCTTTTGATACCAACGTATAACGGTATTCCGGCTACACGAAGGATATCGTGCACTCGCCTTCTGTCTAGGTCCCGTCGAGTTTTAGTTTCTCGTATGACTGGCTCCTCCCTATTGTAGATAAGAACGTTTCGTTGTCTACCCATAGCAAGTTCTGCACTTCGCAAGTAACATTCCAATGAAGACTGCAACTCTTCAACTTTTGAACGCAATGTCTCAATTAGCAAGCTCTGGTCACGAATCAACTTCTCGGCACTGTCTAGTCTGTGCACACAGCTTCTACTAGCAGACTCATGCACAGCTGAGACATGGGTAACTGGATCAAAAGTCCGATCGTGTATCAAGCGAGAACCAATGTCTGCTAAGCACACGCAGTGGAAGCAAATCCACTTTAATTGGGAATGTCGGGCATAAAGATCAATAGAGTCCTGGTCTAATCTAGAGCAGTTGTTATGGTACCATAACAAGCATCTGTCGCACTGAATTCCCTCTTTGACCTCAACGCCACAAGTGTGCTCACCACATTTATAGCCAGCCACCGATGTCATTACAAATAGCACGTAGCAGCCACGTATAGAATAATAAAAAGATAGGTAGTTTGGTGGGATTAACTGACCGAATTAATGCAGGTATGACGGCTTAAGGTTAAGTAGTCACAACAAGTTAATACAATAGAGAATACAACAATATTGAATAAAACAATAAGCAGCGAATTAACACGACCAAAAAGAACACAAAGAGAAGCAATACTGGAACGAACTCACGCGGTTAACGAAGATCCAAGATATCTTGGATCAATATTTGATGGAGCAGAGTAAAAATTTCCCACTCAGTCACTCTAGATCACGCTTCCAAGCCAAATTTGAAGGTAGAAATTTCAAGATAGAGCTTTTTCAAAATTTCAAAGCGCGCGCGCCGAATGGTGATGCAGTTGTCAAAGGTGCAGTTAATTAACTACTTATGTAATTCAGCTCAAGTATGAGACAATCTATACGCCTGGATGGTCGCTGTAAATAGTACCATATTTTGTTTTTTCCGATCAATTCTCTGAGCAGCATAGATACGTATATGCTACTGACGCCCCACGATGTTTGCGAGGTGCGCAGACATTTTTAACGTTCAAGAACCGGCTGCATTAATTAATACCCACATACCAGCGTCATCGGCAGATACAATTGAGGAAAAGCTGTTGAAACAAACTACAATTACTCCGAAAGATGTTTTGCAATTAAAAAGAGCTACTAAAGGTTGACTTGAGTTACTGAAACAAGTACGAATGACTTCGTAGGATATCTATGTTCAAACAGCGAGAACAAATATGGTATCGACTTTTTAAGCTTTTGTCTACGTGATATGGATTCGAAAATAATCCTGTTTGAAGTATCTAAACGACGATGCGCAACTGTACCCCATCGTGCGTATGGCGTGCATAGAAGCCGTTAATGAGTTTATTCATAGATACAGAAGAAGCTACTCCCCAAACGAACCGATACATTCAATACCAGTTTGACTCAAACATTTTGAATCTAAGGAATATTGGGGCATCGTAAGCACAAGACATTCATTTTACAAGTAACCACTACAAGCATTGAATTTTCAGTCGGAAAACATGCGATAAAAGATTTTTTAATGATCGAGCGTCACTACTTTCGGGAAAAATTGCTTAAAAGTTTCGAGTTTAACTTTGGTTTCGTTGTTCCCGAATCAGTAAACTCTGTGGAGCATATATACGACTTACCAAAGCTGTCAACAGCGGAAAGTAAGCTGACTTATTCTATCTAATTTTTGATGAAGTAAAAGACATTATCGCCAATCCATATGAAACTAAGTCCGACAGCTTCTATTTTGTCGAGGGCTGCTTGATTATGCATAATAAGGCAGCTTATTCGTTTACTAACTGAACTATCACTCGTTTCAATTCATAACGAGTACAAAGCAAGGTAATAATAATAGTACGCAAGTTTTTTTCCAGAGTGAAAACTCAAAGCAATACCTATCAAGGCGGACTTTTACATACTGTGGATGTAGTAAAGAAATGTGCAAATACCTCGCTTTCAAATACAATTCTAGGTGTTGTCCATTCATATTCGTGGTGCGAAATTTGCGACGATAAAATACACGTTTATTTCTACGTTCAACTTTGATTAGGACCGGAAATATAAGATTATCCTGTGAGTATTCCTTCCTCAATTAATCGTTGAACCTGGAGATGAAAAAGTGCTTCGAAAGGTGGATGGACCTAAAAAAAGATTTTGGTCAAGCAATTACTGCCCACGTATGTTAAACAATTCTTCCTTGCTAAGACGGTTACCTGCAGTAACAGAGAGGAACCAGTAGAATCAGGCAAGAAAACGAACGGAACTAAATAATTGTAGCATCATTTTCATCGTCAGAGCACGCTAGCTGGGAGTGTGAAACACATTTCAGCTAAGGTGCTGCGATACAAACTGTATAAGATATTTGAGATTCCACAATCAAAATTCGAATTTAGGTGAAATGGTAGTAAATTTCATATTGTGCGGTTGCTGTTAACTCCTAATTGAAGGCGGAGTCTGAATGACAAGCAGATAGACAAACGCCATTGGAATTGGCTTTTTGCCATATTAGCAAATTTGTTTAACCAAATCATCATTAACAACATTATACACGTCAGCTAGAGGTGGAAAACACCTCAGCTACTGCGCCGCAATATATAAAGGAAAAGGAAAATAAATACAACAGTCGCATGCCAGCTGACCTACCAGCAACAGATAGGTATCGTTCCCGTCGGCTCCCTGCCATGTCAGAAAGTGTATCCAGCCAAACGTGTTCATCGTCTTTTGGACCCCAACCAGGGAGCCGAGAAGCTACAACCGAGGCCAGCTTCGAAGTAAAAGCCTCCCTTCCTCTCAACCAAGTCATCGCTTGGCCACCTCTCATCTTCTTCCATCCACATGCCCGATGAGCAAACACGTCGTGGAAGTTGGTGGGCTGGGATGCGCAACAAAGGGCCCAGCCATCGGAGCCTGGTGCATGAAATGACGGTGCTGAGCGGTTTAGTTCCTTTTCCTGTGCAGTAAACAAGGCGTCAAATACACTCGTTACTCACTCGGGGTTCTCACCAGATGTGAGCCGAATGGCAAAGGCACCGATGGTTGGACTTAACTAGCCTCTTTATGTTCGCCGACCTTAGGGGCCAGGTTTCACAACCGTACATTAGGGTCGATCGTACCGCTGCATTGTACACTCTACCCTTCAGGGCGGGAGTAATGTCGCGCCGCCGCCATAGGTGGCGAAGGTTAGCAAAAGCACTCCGAGATTTTGCTATACGGTTCGTGATCTCATCCTCAATCCCACGGGCGCTGATACAACTTCCCAGGTAGTTGAGTTTCTGAACGACTTCTAGCAGATCCCCGCCAATGGTCAGCGCAGGAAGCGATCCCTGCCAATCTCGGAGGAACGCTTTGCACTTCGATGGTGCAAAGTAAAGCCCGAAGCGGCTGACAGCCAGTGCTAATCTGTCCAGCGCGGCTTGGCACGTCTGAGAGCTGTCACAGATAAGGGCAATGTCATGTGCATACTCCAAGTCAAGAAGTCATTCTCCTGGGAGTAGCTCCACGCCTATCCAAAAATGAGAAGTGCCAATGGCTTAGGACTCTTGAAGACATGGCCCGCAACCGGAATCAGTGGAAGAATTGTGTACAGTGTTGTACTGATTCACATGTTTAATTTTACTAATATTGAAAATGACAAAAAAAGAGAAAAATCGGCGTGTGCAAACAAACTAAAAATGTTTTGTTCTATATTTTTGTCAAAATATTCCATTTTCTTGCGGCATATTAGCTGAAGTGTGTTGCCCACCTTCAACTAGCATGCCACGACGATTATGACGCAATGACTGTCTCTTATCCACTGATTTCCATGGCTTTGTTGGCTCTATGTCTAGTTACTAGACTGTTGAGATTACATTAGCTCCACACCTTCCAAGTCATGTCCTGTAAATGCAATCTCCATGATCTCGTCAGTAGCGAGGATAAAGAGGAAAGGTGACAGCGGGCATCCATGTCTCACACCGCTGGTGATATTGAAGGGTGGCGACAGCTTGCGGTAAGCCATCATTCTGCCCGTGCTACGCGCGTATAATGCTCGGATAATATTTACATATTTCTCGGGCACACCCTTCCTGAGTAGACCATTCCAAAGGGCACATCGATCAACCGAATCGAAAGCATCTTTGATGTCGAGAAACACAACTACGGTGGGCCGCCAATATGTGTGACGGTGCTCCAACAACTGACACAAGGTGGAGATGTTGTCGATGCAGCTACGACCCCGACGAAATCCGGCTTGCTCCTCACGAATCTGGGCTTGACGAGCGCCAGTCAGTCTGTAACGAATTATGGAGGCGAATAATTTGAGGCGATGGAGATCAGACTGATTCCTCTATGGTTGCCGCATTCTGAACGCGAGCCTCCTTTGAAGGTGGGAACAATAACGGAGCGGCTCCAGTTGGTTGGGACAGTTTCCTGCTCCCACAGTTTCACTAGTAATTCATGTAAAGCATCAACAAGAGTAGAGTCTCTGAATTTGAAGAGGGATGGAGGAAGATCATCTGGTCCCGCGGCTTTGTTCAAATTCTATTGTCCGATCTCACGTTCGACTTCTGAGCGGGAGGGTAGATCCAAAGGGACAAACCACGGAGCAGGGCGATCACTGGCCGGCGAAGAATCGAACTATTCTAGCCGATTACATTGCTTTTCAAAATGCTCAGCCCAACGCTCCAAACGTTTTGAGAAATTGTGGATAGGCTGTCCACTCTCGTCACGTATAGTTTCACTAACACCAGCTCTCCTGCTGCCCGTTTCCCGTATCAGACGGATTAACTTACGATGGTTGCTAAGAGCAGCGGCCACTTCCATCTCTGACGCACGATGAGACCACCAAGATTCGCGGTCCCTTTTCAGGCTAGCACGGAGTCTTGCCCGGACCTCTTTGTGAGTTTCATTGTGTTCGCTTCCAGCCGGGATATGCCGGCGAGCATCGATAAGTTTCAGAGACCGCGAAGAGACCCAATATACATGTTGGCTGTTAGACATACCACATGAGGATTTGCCTGCTTCTAGTAAGGTATGGTGAACATGTGACCAGTGACCATCAATTGTCTCCAGTGAGCGCTTACTCCACTGGCATGTCAGCGTACTTCGATACGCATTCAGAACAGCTGGCTTTGTCAGTTGGCTGGTGTCAACGCGGTCACGAGGTCGTCGTGGGCGTACGCCAAAGCGCATCCGCATGTCAGCACACACAAATGCATGATCGGTGTCCACATGTGCTCCAAATGGAGGGACAGTTCTGGATGCATCCTCTCCAGCGGTAACTGATAGCGATGTGATCGATCTGCGTCCAAGGCTGGTTCGAGGCTGGTGGACGCCAAGTCACCCTCCGGCGGGTGCTGTGTCGGAAATTAGTGCTCGCATGAAATAAGCGAGCATCTTCACACAAATAAAGTAGCGGCTCACCGATATCATTACTAGAGCCTACACCGTGCTGACCGCCCAGATGCATTTCATCAGTGGACAACTTCCCAACCTGTGTCTTCAGATCCCCCGCCAGCACAACCGTGTCCGTGCTTCTTCTGTGGCGAAGGCGCTGGGTCAGTTGGCGGTAGAAGTTGTTCTTTACCGAATCATCGCTACAGTTTGTGGGCGCGTAGGCGGCGATGATGAATAGACACCTATTAGTCCCGCACAACTTCGCAGTTTTGTACGAGCCAGCCAATCGGACCGCACACATTTGGCTACGCATTTGAATCCAATCAACCAGAGCAGCTTCAGTCCGGGGACTCAGGGCAATACCAACACCGGCTTGGCCGGTGCTCGAAGCTGCATCGTCACCGGATAGGCGCAATGAGAAAGTGCTGCTAGTGTCACCTGAAGGGGATCGCAAAGTGAGTACATAGCTCGACTCTTGCAGGCGGGTCTCTGATAAGCAGCAGATATCGATCGAGAGGGTCTCCAATGTTCGAGCAAGTGCTGTCTGTTGTCTGATCTGCAGTAATGTGCGTACCTTGAGGCATGCTAATCTGAAGGAGAATCGACAGCTCCAAATGGAAGCCAATGAATTGGAGTAGACCACTTGGTTGGATATGGGCTTGTCGATAGGATAAGAGTGACGCTCCGCGTTAACATGTGAGCAGAAATTAGAAGATACACGCCTAGCAAAGTATGTTGGGGGAGGGCCAAGAATCGGGAGTTGAAACCTGGGGGGTATAAGTGAGGTTGGAACGGGATAGTAAGAATGAAAGAGCATAAGAAGGGGAATAAGAAGACGGAAGGCTTGCACAGTAGCATCCAAACCCCTATCCACCCTGCTCGATGCAGCAGATAAGGCGCCGATGATTATCCTCTGCGGTGGCCAGAGCATCAAGAAATGGTTTGACGAATGATCCAACCAAATGTCACTCAAGATGCACCAACTGACGCTAACTTCAAAGTGAGGGTTCCAATTCCTTTCGACTAAGTCACCGTCAGGCCTTCCGTCCTTCTTCTTCAATCAGATCCCGGGTGCACAAACGACGCATATCGTGGGAGTTGGCTTGCCGGCATACGTACTCTGATATACGCTCTTGACCACCTGAACTGGAAGAGAGCTTCAGCACCCGATAACTCGGTTCGACAGAGCAGTATCTTCCTAATTCTAACAGAGCGCGGTTTCTACAGCTTCAATGGGTGACCGCGGAGACAACATGACCTAGCGGGATTATATAACCGAGACAAGTCCAGATCGATCTTACTCTGGCAAAATACGTTATGCAAGTATCAAGTCCCCTCTTTTTACCTACCTTATTATAGATCTCGATGATTTTCCGTGCTGAGGCTTATGCTGTACTTACAAGGGCTATGCAGCACACGCGGACAAGGAC